TTAATATCTACTTGCAAGTAATATCAATGCAAATATCATTTGAGAACAACAGCTGGTTCTGACGCTTTATCAATCTCTGAAATCTAAAACAGATTATATAATAGAAATAAAGAAGGGATTATTCGTGTTTGTATATGAAGAACATGACAGTTGAAACAGTCTAATCCCTGCTTGAAGTTAAAGAGATTTTAAAGAGATATTCTAAAATTTATATGTGCATTGGGGACACTGATAGCATCAATTTACACCATTCCAATTTTCAGTCAGATGTCTGTTCCTGCGATTCCATTAAAAGTAAGTGTTTTATGTCATTACTTTAATTAACAGCTTTGATGACAGTGACCTCATCTATTGTTAACATGTCTGTGATAAAAGGAACCACAGACATCTGCCTGAAAATTGAAATATTTGAAACAAAGGCATCAAATGAACTTGATTCATGAAAAAAATTCAGAAAACCTCTTTACAATAATAATAATAATAGACTCTTTCATTTATATAGGTCAGAATTACACCAAGGTGACCATGGTCCTGTCTAACATTCAACCCAGGAGACAAACATAGACTCTTTATTTTACATGGGCTAGAATTAGATCCAATACACCAAGGTGACATGGTCCTGTCTAACATTCAACCCAGGAGACAAACATAGACTCTTTATTTTACATGGGCTAGAATTAGATCCAATACACCAAGGTGACCATGGTCCTGTCTAACATTCAACCCAGGAGACAAACATAGACTCTTTATTTTACATGGGCTAGAATTAGATCCAATACACCAAGGTGACCATGGTCCTGTCTAACATTCAACCCAGGAGACAAACATAGACTCTTTATTTTACATGGGCTAGAATTAGATCCAATACACCAAGGTGACCATGGTCCTGTCTAACATTCAACCCAGGAGACTAACATAGACTCTTTATTTTACATGGGCTAGAATTAGATCCAATACACCAAGGTGACCATGGTCCTGTCTAACATTCAACCCAGGAGACAAACATAGACTCTTTATTTTACATGGGACAGAATTAGATCCAATACACCAAGGTGACATGGTCCTGTCTAACATTCAACCCAGGAGACAAACATAGACTCTTTATTTTACATGGGCTAGAATTAGATCCAATACACCAAGGTGACCATGGTCCTGTGTAACATTCAACCCATGGAGACAAACATAGACAGTTTATTTTACATGGGTCAGAATTAGATCCAATACACCAAGGTGACATGGTCCTGTCTAACATTCAACCCAGGAGACAAACATAGACTCTTTATTTTACATGGGCTAGAATTAGATCCAATACACCAAGGTGACATGGTCCTGTGTAACATTCAACCCATGGAGACAAACATAGACAGTTTATTTTACATGGGTCAGAATTAGATCCAATACACCAAGGTGACCATGGTCCTGTCTAACATTCAACCCAGGAGACAAACATAGACAGTTTATTTTACATGGGTCAGACTTAGATCCAATACACCAAGGTGACATGGTCTTGTCTAACATTCAACCCAGGAGACAAACATAGACAGTTTATTTTACATGGGTCAGACTTAGATCCAATACACCAAGGTGACATGGTCCTGTCTAACATTCAACCCAGGAGACAAACATAGACAGTTTATTTTACATGGGTCAGACTTAGATCCATAGCCTTCTTCAAGGTGACCATGGTCCTGTGTAACATTCAACCCATGGAGACAAACATAGACTCTTTATTTTACATGGGTCAGACTTAGATCCATAGCCTTCTTCAAGATGACATGGTTCTGTCTAACATTCAACCCATGGGTCAAAATTCTCTTTACAATCTCTTTAAGAAATGTTTTTATAAAACTGCGTGTGATTTTACAGAATATAATCATTCTTATTTACAATTTATAGAGAAAATAAAAAATATTAATCTGTCTTCTGTCAAGGAAGGAAGAAGACTGACAATCATTTTACACTGATAAAATTTCCTAGTTTTTATTCCCTGTCTCTCACCAATCAAACTTAACAAGAGACCACACTAACCTCTGACTTATTACACCATCAATACAATCAGAAAAACATTTTATTAACGGCCAGTTTTTAATCTGAAATAAACAGAATGTCTTGTGTCACTGGAAGCACTGGCCTAGGTCATAGAGCAATAGAAAAACAATAAAACATGTTGTTACTATGTATACGTTAGTTAAAATTTTACAGTTACAATTAAACCTGGCAAAATTTCCTCAATGTACACTGCCTGTATTTCCTGTCTTCATTAACCAACATGGTGCAGAAAAGTAGGACATAAAACTCATTTCATTTCATTTCAGCTGATATTAAGATATAAGTAGTTAATTTATCTAAAAGATTTACAAGCTATCATTTAGAGAGTTCACATTAGGTCAAATGAAGTTCACTGAAGCAGTGTCCATTAATTACTTTTTTTTTTGATGAAGTTAGAAGATGGTGTGGTTGATACATATTTAACTATACATCATACATATTAGTTGGATTTTTATCTTTTTTTTAATTGAGGCAAGTTTTTTTCCAGTTATTAATGTTTATCAAACTGAAAGATATTTTTATGAGGCTACAGGCTGATTTTTGTGATATTTTAATGAAGTAAGTCAAGTATATCTGTTAATGATGAAATCTGAATGATTTAACTACTAATGAAGGCAAGTCACCTACCTTTATGTATCAGAAATGTATTTTAATGTAACAGATAGAGAGCTTTTTCACAGTGTCAAGCTAAATTCGTCTTATACCTTGACTGCAATAGCCACTAGTCTTGTATCACATCTTCACAATGTCAAGCTATTACGAAATTCATCTTATACCTTGACTGCAATAGCTACTAGTCTTGTATTCTTGTCGGAAGATGTAAATGAGGCATTTAGTCAATCACAGCTTTACACAGACAGCAAAATTGTTGAAGTCTTTCTGTCAAGGGCTCTGACTGGCTGTATTCACAGGCTTATAATCCAATTAAATAGCTGCATATTGTGATAGGATAGGTGCTTATAGCAGTCAAGGTATAAGACTAAGTTTGTAATAACTTGACATTGTGAAGATAAAGTTTGTAATAGCTTGACATTGTGAAGATGAAGTTTGTAATAGATTGACATTGTGAAGATAAAGTTTGTAATAGCTTGACATTGTGAAGACAAAGTTTGTAATAGCTTGACATTGTGAAGATAAAGTTTGTAATAGCTTGACATTGTGAAGACAAAGTTTGTAACAGCTTGACATTGTGAAGATAAAGTTTGTAATAGCTTGACATTGTGAAGATAAAATTTGTAATAGCTTGACATTGTGAAGATAAAGTTTGTAATAGCTTGACATTGTGAAGACAAAGTTGGTAATAGCTTGACATTGTGAAGATAAGGTTTGTAATATCTTGACATTGTGAAGATAAAGTTTGTAATATCTTGACATTGTGAAGATAAAGTTTGTAATAGCTTGACATTGTGAAGATGAAGTTTGTAATAGCTTGACATTGTGAAGATGAAGTTTGTAATAGCTTGACATTGTTAAGATGAGAAGGTAGAAGCTGGTTTTAATATACATTTTTCTTGTTGATGCAGTGCACTATTTTAATGAGGCAAGTCAAATAGAAACATTTATGGAATTCATCCTCCCCTCAGTGATTTTATATATGTATTTTGTCTGATCAAAAGACCTGCTGTATCATGTATCCACAGTAGAGTGTAAAGCTCCATTGCGTTTGACATGGAAAGTGTTTTTTGTGATGTTTGCTAAATGTCACACGTAACATCTTTTATTGATTAATGTACAGTTATTGATGTGACGAGTAATGTGTGAGGAGACATTCTGCGTGTGACCATGTGTGATGGTGTATTCTGCACGTGATGAGACAATATATGTGTGATGAGACACAGTCTATGTGTGATGAGACAATGTATGTGTGATGAGACAATGTATGTGTGATGAGACAGTCTATGTGTGATGAGACAATGTATCTGTGATGAGACAATGTATGTGTGATGAGACAGTCTATGTGTGATGGTGCATTCTTTGTGTGATGAGACGATGTATGTGTGATGAGACAATGTATGTGTGATGAGACAATGTATGTGTGATGGTGCATTCTGCGTGTGATGAGACAATGTATGTGTGATGAGACAGTCTATGTTTGATGAGACAGGATGAGATTTGACCTGGTCCCATAAATATACAACAGAATCCCAGCATAATATGAAATATTAATCAGACTATGGAGGAATTCTGTTGTATATTTATGGGACCAGGTGGGTCCAAAGATGAATACATTATGCGGTATTCTCTTAATGGTCAAGTAGGAAAATCTCAGTTTAAATTCTGGTATTCCTTTAAGAAAACATCAAATTTAAACACATTTTGAATGATTTGTGATAAATATTTTGAAATTATCTATTATCGCCAGGTAAGCACAGTGTGTTCATTCTTATAGAACATATTAATGAGGCAATAAACCAATTAACAAGCATGAAAAATCATTGTTTATCATCATGAATATCAAAACATATCTACACTTATCAAGTTTCATACTGTCGTAGGTTGCTAGCTTTTTAAGAGAGTGGAGAGAATTGTTGAAGAGCAGGACAAAAACATCGAGAATATTAAAACATATCTTATGAATACTTCTCAAGTTTCATACTGTAGCAGAAAAAATAATATCAAAAACATATCTACTTCAAGTTTTATTATGTTAGATATTTTGGGAATCTTACAAGTAATGTGTTCTTACATTCAGATAATACCACTATTTAATTAAATATGCCAACTCAAGATTTAGTAACAATCAGAGAGAAAGGTTTGTATTTAGTGATGATGAATTGTTATCTAATATGTTAAATCTAGGAATAGATGAGATAGGGTGTAGGGTGTGTGATTATTGATACAGTAGAAAATAGAAGTAAAGGTACAATGGTTGGAAACAGTGCGGACGATTCACCTTTAATATTTTCTAATGTAGCATTAATCCAATACCCTACTGGACATTGGACAAGTTTACCTTACACCCCACTGGCCACTGGACAAGTTACCTTACACCCCACTGGACATTGGACACTATATACTGTACCAGACACAGGACACCCTACTGGACATTGGACAAGTTTACCTTACACCCCACTGGCCACTGGACAAGTTACCTTACACCCCACTGGACATTGGACACTATACACTGTACCAGACACAGGACACCCTACTGGACATTGGACAAGTTTACCTTACACCCTACTGGACATTGGACAAGTTTACCTTACACCCCACTGGCCACTGGACAAGTTACCTTACACCCCACTGGACATTGGACACTATACACTGTACCAGACACAGGACACCCTACTGGACATTGGACAAGTTTACCTTACACCCCACTGGCCACTGGACAAGTTACCTTACCCACTGGACATTGGACACTATACACTGTACCAGACACAGGACACCCTACTGGACACTGGACAAGTTACCTTACACCCCACTGGCCACTGGACACTATACACTGTACCAGACACAGGACACCCTACTGGACACTGGACAAGTTACCTTACACCCCACTGGCCACTGGACAAGTTTACCTTACACCCCACTGGCCACTGGACAAGTTTACCTTACACCCCACTGGCCACTGGACAAGTTTACCTTACACCCCACTGGCCACTGGACAAGTTTACCTTACACCCCACTGGCCACTGGACAAGTTACCTTACACCCTACTGGCCACTGGACAAGTTTACCTTACACCCTACTGGCCACTGGACAAGTTTACCTTACACCCCACTGGCCATTGGACAAGTTTACCTTACACCCCACTGGCCACTGGACAAGTTACCTTACACCCTACTGGACATTGGACAAGTTTACCTTACACCCTACTGGACATTGGACAAGTTTACCTTACACCCTACTGGACATTGGACAAGTTTACCTTACACCCCACTGGCCACTG